CCCCCCCCCCCCCACGCCCAGAAGGGCAGGGGAAAGGGCTGGGCCAGGTGGGTCACCCTGCCTCCTGCCTTCTGCCTCCCATCCTGGGGGTTCCAGCCTGCAGAGCGGACTCCTACCCTCTGTGGCCCCTCCAGGCTTGCCAGTGTGCTGGGGTGTGCACAACTGGCTGGTGAGCGTCACATTCTGTAGGCCTCCAGCAGAGGGGCCCAGCATAAACCCACCCTCAAAGTGATAAGGGGTCTCCAGGCACCCCAGAAGAGTCTCATCCCGTCCCCCGCCTCCGTGGGCCTGGAGGAAACCTCCAGAAGGAGGTAGTGGCATGTGGGGTGGCCCCTCTCCCTGTCTCCACCCAGAGGGCCTGGCACGGTACACCCACCTGCCTTCCGGAGGATGGCCGTGGTGGCCGCAGTCCCCAGCGTGTTGCGAACGCTGCACGTGTACACTCCCAGGTCATCAGCATTCACCACCAGGATGGTCAGGAGCTGGAAGTTCTTGAGTGTGGAGGAGATAAGGAGGCGGCTGCTACTCTCCAGGGGAGTCCCATCTGCAGCAGGACAGAGCAGACCTGGGGAGCAGCTCGAATATGCACCCTGCCTGGAGACCCGTGCCCTCCTGGGGCCTCAGGTTCCCTCTGTACAGTGAGAGCAGTGCCCTCCTCCTTCCTGCACCCCAGCCCCAGGACACCTCCTTACCTTTGCTCCAGGTGGCCTGTGCAGCTGGCTGGGCTGACACTTGGCAGGCAAGAGTCACTGACTGGCCCAAGACCACCGTTTCATCTGAGAGCTCCCTTAGAAAGGATGGCGCTGGGGAGCAGGAAGGGAGGCAGGGGAGCCTTCAGAGATGATCCCCAACCTGAGAACCTGGACCCCTGAGGCAGGGATGCTGGGGAAGCCCACCCTCACTCAGCTCATCTTTAACACTAGCACCTGCCCCAGAAAGTCCTCCAGAACTGCCCCAATAATGGGACCAGAGCACCCCCCCTCACCTATCTGGGCTCCAGCCCCCATGGATGTAAGCTTGTCCCCCACACTGGTCTAGGCACTGAGGAGGGGCTACCGTCCCCCACAGCTGGGTCCCCTCAGCTGCAGTGCGGCTCGGCCCCCCAGGGCAGCACACCCACCTCGGTCCTTGCTTTTCAGGCCCAGCCGAAAGGAAGCCAGGCCTGCCTTCTTCCTGGGGGGGCTCTCTTTCTCCAGACCTGCAGGGAGGAGGCCTCCAGAAGTCACACCTAAGGGGCCCAGCTGCCACCCACAGTGGACTCCCACACAGGGCACAAGAGCCCAGATCCCACAGACTTTTGTTGCAAATGAGCTAAACTTGCTGCAGAGACCACCCCCTTCTGACCCCTGTCAGGATCAGCATGTCCTGGGCAAGGGCACCAGGGGCAGGTAAGACTTGGGGGCCACGGGTGCCTGGGGAGGCCAGGACTGGTTTGATTCTCTTTGTACCAGTGTCTCCAAGCCTTCTCAGGTCCCAACACAGGGACCTCAGATGCACACGGGGGTTGCGGGTTGAGGCCACACAGGAGACCTCAGAAACAGAGGCCCCCATGTGGGGCAGGGGAGAGGACCCTGGAGCAGAGTGGCTTCTGTGTCACCCAGCTCTTCCCAGCCGCGGAGGCCGTGAGGTGCCCCAAAGTGCAAACAAGACACCTACTACCTGCAGGGAGGGGGTGGAGTGGGGTGGGGAAGTCACCTTCTGGCCTGCCCTTCAGGAGGCGGGAGATGTGGGCCACCGAGGCCCTCACCCTCCTGCGCAGTCCCAGCTCCAGGGGCTCCTCCAGCGTGTGTCTCCTGGGGAGGTGGAAGAGGCCACCGGAGGGGGGTGACCATTTCCGCTTCCTACTGCCAGTGGCCTCCCCGAGCAGGGTCTCCATGTCCTCTGGCTCCTCTGTGATCTGCAGGCTGGCTGGTGGACCCAGTGCGCCTGGCCAGGGCCACGCGGCCTCTGGGAACTCAGCCAGCTCCTCCTCTGCCTCGGATTCCGGGGAGGAAGGTGACTCTGGTTCCACAGGCTTGGGGACCTTCCTGAAGATCATGAACTCGAAAGGGAGGTACTTGATGTCATACAGGTCGGACAGGTTGAGGTAGGCAGGCTCCACCTCTGAGATGTCCAGGGACACGGTGTCCGCTGCTTCTGAGTCCCCAGACAGGTCTTGGATCTGCACCAGGGACACCTGGGAGCCCCTGCCGAAGTCTTCCCACGAGCTCAGCTCTGGGGAGGCCCTTGGGGGTGCCCTGCTGCCCTCGGGAAGGGGAGCTGCGCTGGCCTGGGGGGGTGGGCTCTGAGCCCCAGTGTCATCATGCTCCTCTGAGGACTGAGAGGTGGCCCAGGCCATCCTGGCCCACAGGGGACCCTGCCCCAGCATGCCCCCTGCATCCCCACCAAAGGCAAAGGTGCCATAACCCGCCACTCCTGCGTAGCCCCCATGTTGCCCCAGGGAGAACTTCCGCATGGTGGCCTGTTCCTGAGGCCGCTGTGGGCTGGGCTCCGGTTCTGATGCATCCTCCAGCTCCAGGGTGGCATCCTCGGAGGGACCAGGCCCCGTGCCCACCTGGGAAGCCAGCCCTGAGGAGCTAGGGGGACTCAGCCTCCCAGGGAGACAAGTGTCCTTTGGACTCTCCATAGAGCCTGGCTGGCAGCTCTCTTGGGCTGGGGAGAGGGGAGCCTGGGTCTCCCCCGAGAGGAAGGGGCTGGAGGATGCCCAGAGGGGCCCCGTGCACTGCTCTGAAGGGAAGGAGCCAGAAAGTTGTGGTGTAACAGCCTTAGGGGGGCCACAGCCTTGCAGGGGAGCGGGACCCCACTGGGGCTGGAAGGAAGGGGTGGGCTGCCACCCACAGCTGTCCTGGGATGACCCCTCTTGCTGAGCAGCCCCTGGGAGGCCCCCGATGGATGGCAGTAGTCTTGGCCCCTGCTGGGATCCCTCTGGACGCTGCATCTCCTGGGCACATGTGACCCCTCCTGGCAGGTTCTCCCCTGAGGCTATCTGGAGGCCTGAGAGGCCTGGGGCAGGGCACTGCCCCCCGCCACAGGCCTCAGTGGAAGAGCTGGTGGAGTGTGGCTGGTCGAGCTCCAGGGATCGGCTGCGGCCGGGTGCCACTCGGGCGCTGGAGCCAGGCAGCCGCAGGGCGGTCTCGAAGGAGGGCACTTTGGCCATCAGAGCGGCCTGCTCCTCCCGGGCGGCCTCCTCCTCCAGCGCGCGATGCTCCAGCAGCGGCTCCCTCAGGCCGGGCAGGGCCTTTGCGAAGTAGCCGCCCTTGAGCAGGTGCCTCCGCCGGGCGGGGTGCCGCCTGCCGCCCATGGCGGGGCCTCCGCGCTCCGGGGCCTCGCCTGCCTGCTGGTAGAAGAGGCTGCGGATGACGCTCTGCCGGGGAACGCAGCCCGGGGCAGCAGGCACCTCTGCACCTGGGGGCGACGCCGGCCGAGGCGCGGCGGCGGCAGACGCGCAAGCCTCGGCCTCCTCTGGCAGGCTAGCGGACGGCCGCAAGAAGCCCCGCGGGTGCAGCAGCGGGGAGTGGGTCACCGGAGAGGGCGGCAGCGATTTGGCCCGGGCGAAGGGTGCCAGCTCGTTGTCGGAGGACGAGGACGAGCTGCTGGAGGCGGCGCTGGCGCCTTCGTGCAGGTGCCGGGCCACCCCGAGGGACGGGCTGTCGGGCGGGCCCTGGAGCAGCTCGGGAATGGAGCGCATCACCAGGATGGACTTGTAGCTCATCAGGGAGCGCTGGGGGTTGCGGGGGACAGGGGCGCGTGAGCCGTGTGTCCGCCCGCTTTGCGGCTCCTAGTGGTCCCTGAAGGGGCACCCAGGAACTGGAGCGTGTTACAAGCTCCACTCCTCATCCCCTAGGGCTGTGTCGTTCTGTTCCTGCCCAGGCTGGGACGTTGCGCGTGGCACGCACCTCCTCCCAGACCCGCCCCAGGGGCTCAGAGAGCGCATGCCCCAGCCTGGCTTCTCTTTCTCCTAGGCCCTGCGGGGACACACAGCCAGCCCTCGGGGCCTGGTTTCCTTGCAGGCCTCCAGCCCCCACCTCGCAGCTCTGCCCCCTCTTCAGCATCTTTTGGGGGGTCTAACCCTAACCCTCACACCCTCCGCGAGGCTGCACTGCTCACCTGCCAGCGGCTGCGGGCTAGCAGGAACTTGAGTTGCTTGGTGTTGATGAAGTGGGCCTCCTCTGCGGGCACGGACTTCTGAGAGGGCCCAAGTGACAGAGACGGTGAGGGCAGACCCTGGTGCACCCTGTGGTCCACGCAGACCTCCGCCTCCCCAGCCCCATGGCCTGTTTCCCTCCCTGTGCAGGCCTGCTTGGGCTCAGCCTGCTCACCTGGAACCAAGGGTGGGCCAGGCACTTGGCTGCGCTGGGTCGGGCCCTGCAAGGAGAAGAAGGCCAGGCGTCAGGCCAGGTGGTCAGCTGCCCCAGGGGCAGGCCTGTGAGAACCCGGGGCGGGGAAAGGGTGGCACACTCACTCTGGGGCCCTCTGCAGGGCAGCCTTGATAAATTCCTGGGCATCCTCGCTGAGGTGGGCAGCCATGGGGCTGCTCCAAGACACCCGCCCCTCCAGCACATTCAGGAGGGTGGCTCGGTCACTCTCACCAGCAAACGGTGACGAGCAGGTCAGGCTGAAAGCAGAGACATGACTTTGCCTTCAGAAGTGACCTGGATTTCTGGATGCATAGGGAGCAGGTGGCCAGAGCAAACAGTGCTGGGTCTTTTACAAGGCCCCCAGTGGCCACAGAGCCACTCCCATCCAGCCCTGAGAGTCCCAGAAATGGCCAATATTTGCCCAGAGATCCACGCTCAGCCTGGGACAGGGATCAAGGGTCAACCTGGAGTATGTACCCAGCCTTAGCGTGAGGTGGGATCCAGGCTCAATCTACACCAGCAGCCTCCTCGAGGGCAGCTGTAACTGTAATGAGGAGGCTCTAGGCAGAGCCTTTAGGGAAACAGCTCAGTGCTTTGCCTGGTGACCCGGCCAAGCTCCTCTGGGCCACAGTGTGTAAGAAAAGAGTGCAGCAGAAACCACTTATCAGAGTTGGCTGACCGCTGGTTCCCATAATAGCTGCCCTGTGGGTCTTGGGTCTTTGATCTGGGAAGCAGCCAGTAGTGCACGTGGCTTGTCATGGGTCTGATGGGGAAGGGATCAGCGCTTGGTTTCAGAGGGGGTGGTTAACAGAGGCAGGTGTCTGCTTACCTGAGATAGGAGATGACCCCCATGGCCCTGCAGGAGCAAAAGCACAGTCTTGAGTCATCCCATGCCTGGGCTTTGGGCAAAGGGTATGCTCAGAGTTGGGGGGTGTGGGAAGAGGGGCAGCGACTGTGTGTGGGGCGGGGGCTGCTGGCATCCCCAGTGGCCACTCACTTACCAGATGTCCGAGGCCTCGCTCACAGGAGTCTGCTCAATGATCTCAGGGGATACAAACTCTGGGGAGCCATACTTGCTGTATTGTGGCTCTACTGGGGTGATTTTTTGGGCAAAGCCGAAGTCGCAGATTTTAATGTCCTCCCGAGCGGGATGCACCATCAGGATATTTGGGGGCTGTGAGACACAGTCAGGAAGAGGGGAGGCCATGCCCTAAGGAGGGGGCTCCCAGGGCCGCAGGGAACACACAGGGGTCTGTGAAGGGCTTTCCCAAGGCAACGGTGATGCTGGTGGGACAGTGGGCAGTCTTGGGGTAGGTTTTAGTGCTATTTGGGGACAGCTTCCAGTTCATCCGAGCTGTACCCCACCTGATATCACTCTGCATCCCCAGAGAGTCTGGAAGTGCTAGACTTGCATCTACCCGCCCCCCCATGTTCAGGGTCCCTCCCTGGTCCCTGCGGGGCCCCAAGAAGGTCAAGCACCTTTATGTCCAAATGGAGAATGCTCTGGCCGTGCAGATAATGCAGCCCTTCTGCCAGCTGCTGGATGTACACCTTGACCTGGAACCGAGGCCAGGGCTCAGAGGAGGTCCATCCTCCACCTACTGCTCCACTCGCCCCCAGATCTGAGCTGGGCACGGATCCCACAGGGCAGGTGGTGTGCAAAGCCTCCCAGAGCCCAAGGCCAGAGGATTCCTCCAGCCCAGAAAGCAGATGGGCCTGACTAAAGCCGGAAGCACCTGGTGTCTCAGGAGGGAGGGCCCCACCAGCCAGGTGGTGACTGGGAGAGGAAAGCAGTGGCCCCCCGGGGAAGGGGGGTGCATGGAAGGGCTTAGAGAGCCCTACTGAGGAACTGCCACGCCCCATGAGGCCCGGGGGAACCCCAGAAGGTTTCCAAGCTGGGGTGTGCTGGGTGTGGCCAGGGAAAACAGGAGACTGTGCAGTTACCTCAGCCTCGGTCACCACACTCTTCTTGAACAGCCGGTCCAGCAGCTCCTCTGAGGAGCACCTGGGGCTCAGGTCAAGGAAAGCTCTGGAGTCTGGAACCCACCTGGCCCCACACACACCTCCTATCTTGGGGTGGGGGTGGGGGTGGGGGCCAAGCTGGGGAGGTTGGTGCTCAGACTGTGGAGGGTGGGAGGGACAGGGACCCCAAGGAGGGGGGCCAAGGTCAGCGGACAGCAGCAGAGTGGGAGGGGTGAGTAGGGCATGTGCACCCCTCCCTGGAGCTCGGGTGGGCTGCCTGAGGACCCTCAGCATTAGCACTGAGTGTGGCCCATAAGTCTGACCTCCCTGCTGGGCAAGGCCCCGTGGAGCGTGGGATGGCCCAGTGAGGGCTTGTCTTGGACCCTGTGACACAGCTCTGCCAAAATTCCTGAGCCAGGGGACCGCGAGCTACAAGGCCAGGGCTGTGTCCAGGAATAGCAGAACAGGCCCTGCTGGGGCCCTGGGACTTATGCCTGCCAAGGGTCTGCGTGGGCGCCCCTTTCCTTGGCCTCTGGCCTGGCTGTGGGATACAGCTCCAGGACAAGGATCAGGGTCTTCCGGGTCTCAAACTGGTCAAGCAGCCCTGTGACCAGCGGGTGGCTGAGCGTGGCCAGGATGTCCCTCTCGCGGTACGCCTGGGTGCGCGTCCTGCTCCGCAGGGGGATGAACTTGGCCGCGCAGAACATCTGGTTTCCCTTGTGCTGTACCCTCTTCACGAAGCCGAACACGCCCCTGGGAGGAGGGGAGCCACGCTGGGGGTGCGCGCCGGTTCCCCAGGACGGGGTTGGAGGAGCGGTGGAGTTCCGGAGAGCTGTGGTCACGAGGGTCCTCCAGGGAAGGAGGTTTCTGGGGGACTGGGTTCTGGGTGGGGGTGCCCGTGCCGTTGGGTCAGCGGGAGGGGTGGAGCTCCTGAGAGGCGGAATTTCCGGAGAACAGGGGGGCGGGAAAGAGGGTGCTTCGTGGACGGCGGGGTCCCGAGGCGCAGGGGTTCCAGGGGGTACTGGCGGCTCCCTGGAGAAAGCTGGTGCTCCGTGGGGGAGGGGTCCCGGGAAGCTGGGGCTCCCGGGGGGCTGGG